CCTCGCACCACCGTCCCGCTCCTCCCTACGTTCGATGAAACTAGTTTCATCCTTTAGTACAATATGCATATTTAAAGAGAAAAACACGTATACACGCGTAGAACGATAATTTCGTAGTAGCAACCGTGGTCGACTTGAAGATATTGCACGATACGATACGGCGGTGCCTATTTATCGCGTCGCTTTAGATACGACAAAACAGAGGAAGACGGGAGGAGGCAAGGGTGGCGACGGTGTGGTGCAGAGAGTTTGAAAAACCTCTTCCTCTCCCGGTAATCTCCGGTGGCATGCGCGTTCAACTCGATACACCACGATGATAATATAATCGTTAGTGGAGGAGGCAGTCGTAAAAGCGCGACGATAACGCAAACACGATCTCGAAAGAAGCGAACGGAAGTCGGTTTCGAGCGCGACGCTCGTTCGAAACAGAAATGGGACCACAAAGGGGACGATTGTTTCGAGATAAATAACCGTGCAACGCAGGCAAGATCTACTTCTGAATCGATAAGTAATAGAAAGACGATAATAATCCCGTGGCTCGATTGGAGTTTGCTCGTTCGCGTGCGGTTGGAAGTTGCAGAGATGTCGCCATTCACGATTAATCGATCCGGGAGGCGAAATAGAAGCTGCCATTGTACGTAGCCGCGCGAACCGTATCGTCCCGGAAACGCAAAAAATCACGGACCAATAATGCGGCCGTAGAAAGAATCGCGAGATTGATACGGGCGATGTTCGCGGAAACCTCGCGATATTCTTGGAACCGGCCGATATTTCTAGTGTCGTTCTACGAATATTCTACTGATTGTTGCTCGGTGCATAACGCGCGGGCAACGGTAAGTGAGACGAGGGAGAGAGGACGCTGGGATGGTCGATAAACTTTTTCGCCAGAGACCGGAGAGAATTTCGAGGAATTTCGAACGACTGTGCCGATTCGCGGTATCTCAGGCAGCCGGACGCTTTTACGGTCGATCAGGTTTATCGGCCACGGGGAATTAAAAGCGAAGCATCCGGAGGAGACGGGTGGAAAGAACCGTCTCTCTCTCCACGGAGTCGCTACACCGAGCTCCGATCATTTTATAGGGATCCACCGTATGAATTTATTATCGCGTCAGGATATAGTGGAAGCAGCAAGGTCGCGAACAGAGAGAAAGAATGCACGAGAGAGAGAGAGAGAGAGAGAGAGAGAGAGAGAGAGAGAGAGAGAGGAAGAGACTGCACGAATATGATTTACGATCTAGCAGGGCAGATTAAGCTCTACATTGTACGGACATGCTGCACGGAAATTTATTAGCGCGAAAGAGAGATTAGAATGACCGAGGTCACGGAACGTCATCCGTGATCCAGTTGAAAGTTCCTCTTTCGATTGTTCTGCGATACGTTGAAACGTGTCACCGGTCGAGTACCGACGATACGAAAAGGAGATTCGACGATAAAATAGCGCTTCTCTAAATAGATTTTCCGGATAGTGTTTTCAAGGTTGAAACACTATCCTCTTCCACGAATTTCACGGCATTCAAATCACCCTCGACGATCGCGAAAAGTGTCTCCGAGAGGCGTGAATGTTAAAGGGAAGACCAGGCGTGGACGGAGGAGGAGCGGGATTTTCGATGAAACAGGATAAACGCGATAGGAGCGTGCGAGTTAGCGAGGTTAGCGTGATGTTTTCGCGACAGGGCGTGCGAGTGTTCTATATTAAACTCGGCGAACGCGGGTAAGCCGATTGCGAAACGGACGGCTGATATTTTCGTTACATCGCACGAGTAACTGCTTCCGGCCGAGCGTTCCCTCTCTCTCTCTCTCTCTCTCTCTCGACTCGTCGCTCTCACCATGGTAGGCGTCCTTCCTCTCGCATCCTGCTTTTCCATTCGCTCACCCGCTGCCAGACTCTGTTTTTCTCGCTTTGCTCGCCGGCTCCCTTATTCGCTCTCTCTCTGCGGACGGTTCTCGCCGGATCCGTCTCTTTCTCTTTCTCCGTTCTTAAACGCGCGCGCTCGAGAAAGGAGAGAGAGAGAGAGAGAGCAGGCAGATGCCCGTGCTTCAGCCGGCCGGAAACACCTACGCATCATGGTAGCGTGCGAGGTAGCGATGCCTAGCGATGGGAACGAACGCCTCGCGAAGCTTCCTTCGTCACCCGTGCAAAGTTTCATTATTCTCCGAAAATTCTAAAAAACATACGGTTGATAAGTTAATAATCCTAGCAGAATAATGGAAAATACAAAAGTATCGTTCTGATGCATTTTTAATCACACGTCTCTGCATCCCTGTTTTCCGTTCAATTACAATATTTCTACCGAATGCACACAGCATTTGCTACTTATTTCGCAAAATTAATTTACAAGAAAAATTATTGTTGCTTACCAAATTTCTGACGTTCGTTGTTCGTGAGAAAATTTCGTTCTTTTCAAGCTTCACAACTGTGACACTTCAACGCTGGTTTAATTTCGAATTTTGTGTTACTTGTTCGCAGACTCGACGCGACTCGAGTACATCGCTATCTGAGGAATAGCGATGGGATCGATGCAGTCCTCTCTTTGAAAGAAATCCACCAAGAATCCAACAGAAGGATATTGTTCCCGATATGAGATATACCGTATTTGTAATTGGCTGCAATCTTGTTAGCAATTATTCAGTATTGATATCCGAGGGGGTTAACAGTCGCTGAGTATTGAATTTGTAATAAACGCCATAATGAGCGGCACAAACGCGGATGTTGGTTCATCGCTAATGAGAACTAGGCAAGCTATAAGGATAGAAGAAGTCCATGAGAGCCCGCTTCCGTTGTCGGTTACTTTGTTAGCGATGGCTGTAACAGGACGAGGGAATAATCGTTAAATTATATAATTCACTAATAACGCCGTCGATAAAATCGTCTTCGATGCAAATATCGTCTCGAAATAAAAGAACGTCGACTAATAACGATTACAGAAATTAATTAAAACGGGGGAAAATATTGGACAAATATTTACGAACAAAAATGAACGATACTAACCTCAAAACATATCACGAATTGTACAATTCGATCTAGAACGTTTAATTAGTGTTTCGAGATTAATTAAAAGTCACCGATTCGAAAGAATCTCGACACTGTCGCTAGTCCTGTCTAGGTTTCTTCCTCTGGCCGTGTCACGAAGCTCAACAGTTTTTGCACGAGTTTCTTTTATAGGTACAGCTACCGTGTCACAACGTCGGCCGATCAACGATTGATACGCTTCGCTTCTCCTTTCCTCCTCTACTTTTTTACTGCGATAGTTGAGCCAGAAAAGGCTGTCCACTGCATCCTTGCCACGTTTGGGGATCGTGCTGTGTTCTTCTCGATGAATCGAGATTCAACAGCATCGAGTACCTATTAAACAGGATTTAATCTGAACTTAATTTAAGAAATTTAGACTTGCTAATCGTGTAGTTTACGAGATGCTACGTTTCAAATTTAATATGCCAAGTATTTTGAATTTGTCGCGGGAAAGAAATTCGGTTGTGGCGCCATCTATTCCATGCATTGCTGCACTCGATACGCATGTTGGACATATTCGCGGGAAACAATATTCTGTATTTCCATACGGAAATTGACAATTAAAAATGTTGTACGTTAATTCTTTAGTCGCGTTAAAAAGGTATTCGCAAGAAGTTTTTAAGAATCAGAACGCATTTATCGTGAAAAGAGGATCTATCGTAATGGATTTATCGTTGCGTTAAATTTAATTCTCCCTACTGACAT